CCCTCGGGCAACAGAGCGGGGGGACCCTTTCCCGCGCCGAGGGCCCCAAGCCGGTTCAAGAAGCACAAGAAAAGCCCACGGGTACTCGCAGCCCATCTTTTTTCTTCGTCTTCGTCTTCTCTTCCCCCCCCAACCCCGGCGATAACAAAACTCAGTCCTCAAATGCTTCCTCCCATGTGCGTGTGCGACTGGCGTCATGGAACTGGACTGGCACGGCGGCCGCGGGGTGGATTGGTGTGGGCTAGGCTGACCTTTTTTTTTTTTTTTTTTTTGCTCTTTGACCAAAGAAAATAGTCCTCTTTTTTTTTTGCATCATTTTTAATTCTGCGATTGGGCTGCAAAGCCACAAAGGCTCTTTTCAGCCCGACTCTGACGACGATTTCCATTCCAATTCTGTTTCGAAGGACCAAAAGCTAAACCGGTAGTTACCTGGCGCCCTTTTTTTTTTTGCAGCCGCACCCTTGGATCAAATCAATCTTGCCACCATTGCCATTTAGACTTGTCCCCCAACTTGTACTTTTTTTCGTCATCATCCTTTCCTAGTCCAACTTGCCCATTTCTCCACCACACCCGGCAGGCTGGGTTCCAAAAGGCCTCTCTGTTCCTCTCGGCATATGCATGCACTTTCTTTCCTTGTCCCCCTTTGGCTTGTCTCAAAGTATTTGTCTACTTGACTGTTTATTTTATTTTATTTTATTTTACTATTTTTATTCTTTATAAACACCTTCTTGTACTCATGGGCTGTCCAACATCAATCTTGCTTTACACACGCCCCGTACATTACTTGCCACCACACACACCCCCCAAATCTCAACCCCATTGACGACCTTTCATCAATTCTCCTTCTTTATTTCCACCCTCCCCCGTTCAAACCCGAATCGCCCACGGAATTGATAGCCCATTCAAGTCCCCCCCGTCTATAGGCGAATTGGCACACCTTTTGGCCCACACAGCCATCACCTCGCCCGCTAGCCCACCGTCCTGATGCCACCACCATGGAGACCGTCTCGCCGGTCCTCGCCTTCGTCTTTGCTGATACCAAGCACATCGTATCCGTCGTCCCCTTCCTCGGAGCGGGTCATTGTCAACAGCCCTTGGCGAATAAATGTTGTCATGTGTTATCCACGAGCAGGGGGGCCGTTCTTTGAAAACTATAAAAGGCCCTCCTGTCTTCCCGTAGACTCTTCTTCCTTCTTCCTCCTTTCATATCTCGTCTTCTGTATCCTCTTGATTCCATACCCAAGTCTCCTCTGCCCTCTACCTTGATCCTCTTGTGCCATCCCCGAGCCTATCTTGGACATACATCACATACATCACACACAACACCACGCCCCCAGTACAACCCTCATACACCGTCACCATGTCTGCGCACTACCAGACCGCCACCTACTCCATGCCCATCCACGTCCCGGGCAAGGGCAAACAGTACCCGGCCTACAGCCAGTACTCCATGTCCCCGCCCGAGTGTGACGACTCGGCCTCGTCCATCTCGGGCGTGCCCTCATACTCCCACACCGGCTTCTCCAGCGCCTCCGCCACCAGCTACCTCCCCGGCAGTGCCGTCTCCTCCAGCACCGGCGCCGAGTTTGACAGTGCCGGCTCCGCCAGCGGCGTCGACTTTCAGGATTACATGCAGGATCGCTTCTCCCATTCCTTTAACCCCATCCCTCTCGACCGCAGCATGGCCGTCCAAGCCCAAACGTACGTTGTTGCCCCCGGTCTAACTTTTTTCCCCCATCACCCCATCGACAAAAGAGAAAACTTTCCCTGCTAACACATACCGCTTAGTTCTGGCAAGCTCAATGCCAAGCACCGTGAGCTCCTGGATCTGCAGAGACAGGCACAGGCTCGCCTGGCTCGCACCCGCGAGCGATTCTCAGAAGGCATGCGCGATGCGCGCGAAGTTCGCGGCGACCTCGAGTGGACGCAAAAGAAAGTATCGTAAGTTGATTCGCCTCATTTCCAGAAATCACAAGGGCGATTTCCCATAAAAACACCCCTTTGCTATAATTCTTTTTCCGGAATGTGGCTAATTCCATTCGCAGAGCGCTCAACACCAAAGCCGCACGCATGCACCCCAAGGAGTACGCCAAGGCTCGCGCCAGATTTCCGTCTCCCGAATGCTAGGACATGTTGCTTTCTACCGCTTCTGACGCCTTTTTGTTTTCTGCTTCTTTTTTCAGCCTTGCTTTTCTATGGTTGGCTCCTTTTTTGCTTTATTCGGAAGCGCGGCGGTATAATGATTTCACGACATTACGACAAGACAGGAAACCGGCACACGATTCAAAAAATCTCCATTCTCAAACTTGGCAAATAATTTCTACATGCCAAGTAAAAAAAAAAGGACCGGGAAAAACAACAACAAATTTTTTATAGTATGGAAATAGCGTCTTCAGCACATGGTTGTCTGCTGAACAAAGGAGACGTCAAATTTGGAGCGCGGCGCGGCAATCGTGCAGGCACCTAGGCGCGCCATCTCTTGCTGCTTTATCAGCTCCAGCCAAACGGTCAGGGGTCTGCCGCCAGCATATCCCACTTGCGGGCCGCTTGCAGACTGTGGGGTGTGCTGTCGTCGTCCCCGGCGATTCGATCCCGATGCCATCGGACCCATTGAGCGTCCCTCGTGGCACCTACGCTGGCCTCTGCGCTGGCCTCTGCCAGAGACGGCCACAGCTGCCCGATCCAGCAAGGTGGACTTGGCTTCGATCACCCCTTGGAGCGACTTGTCCAGGTAGTTCCCCCCGGATTGAGGCTTTCAGTGCTGGCGCAGGCACCCGACAGGGTCTGCTGCAAGCCAGAGACGCAGACAAGAGGGGGGGGGCCAGGCGACGGCGAACCAGGGTGGAGGGCCGTTTCTTTCTTTGCAGTGCGCTTTTCCTATTCGGGATGGATAGTTGGTGTTGGACTCAATCAGAGGCTCTGTATCTGTACCTCCTATAGCAAATTATAAGCTTGGATACTTCGATCCCGGTCCGCTGACCCTGTAGAAAGACTGCCAACCAGTGTCCGTCTCTCCCTGCGACACGCCCCCCGTAGACCAAGCCCAGCGACCTGCTCTGCTCTGTCAAAGACAGGGACCAGCGTCAATGCTAGTAGGAAGAGCAGACCCTCCAATCAGGTGTCTGGCTGACGAAACATCGTATGGCCAACAGAAGGTTTCCATCACGTGATGGGCATGACGCGCCAACAGCAAAGCCAAGCCAGGCACCATGACGATGCAGTAAACGGGAGATGGAATTGTCCTGTCGCTTTTGCTTTGAGTAAATGTTTCAAGCCGCGTGCGTTGGGGCTCCTTCCCTGGTCGTGGGAGTCGGTGCCCATGTTGAAATTGGTTGCAGACCTGCAGCTTCCTCGAGTTTCGCCCAAGGATTCTCATTCGAGAAATGATCGTAGTAATCCTCATACCACGGTTTGTTGGCATGATGACCGCCCGAGGCTTGTCGCGGCGCGCCGCCCCGCCGGTGCTGGTTGCCGGCGAAGCCACCGTGAGCAGGAGCCGGCCGCTGGGGCAAGCCGGCGATCCCAGCCCCGATCGAGCCCGAGTGGTCGGCATTGGCATCGGAAGAAACGGCTCCGGCTGCTCCTACAACAGCGGCGCCGTCGTTGTTGACTGCGCCGTCGTCTCCGTCCTCGTTCTGCGCGGTAGTCTCGTCGGCATTGGCAGGGAGGGCCCGGCGTTCTCCTAGAGGCCCCGAGTTTGCTCCGGTGCCGTGGTGCTCAGAATCTTGGATGTCGATGACGGCATCGTTGTGGGGGTTGTATTTGCGCTTCTTGCTCGAAGGGTTTTGCGCGCCAAAGGAGGAGAAGCCCATGGCGGCCGCCATGGCTGCACTCGTCTCGTCGTCCATCCGGGGGTCGGGCCGAGTTCGGCAGATGCGTTAATCAACTCGGTTTCGGTTTCGGCGAGGGAGATTCGGAATGGACAGACTGGATTGCCCGATGGTGCGGTGAGGCTTGGGACGTGTTGATGTAGTTACTGGAAGAGCTGTCGAGTTGAGTCGATTCAGCGTAGCTCGCCAGCAGAGCCTGGCTGGGCAAGTGGGGCGTCCAAGAAGTTGTCTAATTTGTATCGGGTATTGGCTACGACGCACATGGCAGCCCGGAAGGAAAATCGAATGTGCCTAGACAATAATGTAACGGAATAGAGAGAGCAGAGCCATATTTCTCTTCTGATGAAAGCCGTAAATTTGTAAAATTGGTAGGGTGTGACGTGGTGTTCAGGGTCTCTGCCCTTTACAGTCATGAGATTAGATGAGCGTGATGTAACACTGGAGAGCATTGCACACATTACTTTTAATGACNAAAAAAAAAACATATGCCGAAGCCCGAAAGGAAATTTCATTGGGTTCCTAGGAATCATGGCATAGTAGGTTTGATCAGTATCATGGTCACTGAACTTGTTCTGGTCAGTTGCAAGCCCCCATGGCAAAAGAGTCGGAAATAGCATGCAGTTGGATTATACATGATGAAAATAGTCCATTAGAAGAGACTTAGTTGGAAGCTGAATCGATACCTAAAACCGCAGTCGGATTATGGCGATTGTTGCTAGTGCTTCATGAATAGGCAGTCTGCAAAACAAGCTCTGTCTCCAAGAATATGCGTAGAACTTTATATTGAACTTGTAGGTGTATTTGCCAAGACTGGCAACACCACGGCGATATGCCAGAACTGTGCGGCATGGCGTTAATTGTGCCGCGCGTGTACTTTTGCGCTCTCGACTTTCTGAGACTCGTTTCCTCGTCTCGATGCTTCTGCTTTGCTCTACCCCAGTTCCTCAATAGCCTAAAACGCAGCTTTCAACCTCAGACTCGGAGTCGAGTATCCATTGGTATCAAGCACCGACCCCACGTGATTATTGTTAAAGATCCCATCCTATACCCCATGTGTAATTGAGGCAACCCAGATGTGATGGGAGCTGCCAGCCTTGGATTTGCGCCATTTATACCTGAGCGGTTTCTTCCCCTCTCTGCCTACTACTTTCAGCGTCTTGTCAAGGACAGACAGACAGCTCTTGCATGTTTGGAGAAAAGCATTGTGTGGTGGCAAAATGGGGGAAAAGTTTACTGGTGTGATTTTTAACCGACATTGCCCGCGAGGTACGACTATTAGGTCGCAGACAAAAGTCAGACTCGGTAAATGGAAACCAAAGTTATTTTGTGCCTTTTTGATAGTGAAGCATTTTCTCGTTAAAAAAAGCCGTAGGTTTGGCTGATTGCCGAGTGAGTTCATCTCGACTGCCACGACTGAGAGGCGAACGAGGCGGTAACTATTGATGTAACAGCATCTATCTAGCTTACACGTGGCAGTGGAGGGGACTAGCATAAATCCCAGAAACTCCAGAAATTAAATGGAATCTATTCTTGAGCTGAGCACAACCTCGTGCTCAGCTCAAGTATAACAAGGCTTCCAGATGGCCGTCAAATGAGACCCTGACCAGGGTCCACGTGGGGACCAGTTCCCCGCCTGTTCATGAAATTAGCTGTAGATCTCGTACATCTTCTGACACCGAAGTACTTATTCGGTGCGCCAATGATTCTGTGCCTGGCGCAATATTCTCCCCCGCGCTCCTAGCCATGCAGGACTCGGAGCAGGAGCGGCATATAAAGGCCAGGGCCAGATCCGAGCCAAGATGGGCCAAGGTTCGCCAAGACTCTTTACCATCCACTCGTTTCGTTCCCATTTGCAATCATGAAGGCCTCTGCGATTGCTGCTGTGCTCTTGGCCGTCGTCGGTGGCGCTGCCGCCGGCCTGAACCCGCGCGGGATCGACGCCGCGGGCCAGATTCGCCTGGCATACCACGGCGACGACGCCATGGTCGTCAGCTGGAACACGTTTGAGCACGTCGCCGCGCCCGAGGTCCGCTGGGGCCTGTCCCGGGACAAGCTCGACCGCACGGCGCGGTCCGACACGTCCGTGACCTACCCGACGTCGAGCACGTACAACAACCACGTCCTCGTCGCCGGGCTCCGGCCCGACACCACCTACTACTACCTGCCCTCACCGCTGCCTCAGGGCCGCCCTCCGGCGCCGTACACCTTCACCACGGCGCGCGCGGCCGGCGACCCGCAGCCGTACTCGGTCGCCGTCGTCATCGATCTCGGCACCATGGGTCGCCTCGGCCTGACCGACCACGCGGGCAAGGGCGCGCGCCCGGAAAACATCCTCAAGCCGGGCGAGAAGAACACGATTGACTCGCTGGCGGGCACCAGCGCGACGTGGGACTTTATCCTGCACCCGGGCGACATTGCTTACGCCGACTACTGGCTCAAGGAGGAGATTGCCGGCTTCCTGCCCAACACGAGCATCGCCGACGGCCACACCGTATACGAGGCCATCCTCAACGACTTTTACGACGAAATGGCCGTCGTCACCGCGGCCAAGCCCTACATGGTCGGCCCCGGCAACCACGAGGCCAACTGCGACAACGGCGGCACCACGGACAAGGCGCGCAACATCACCTACGACGTGAGCATCTGCTCGCCCGGCCAGACCAACTTCACCGGCTACAAGAACCACTTCCGCATGCCGAGCGACGTCTCGGGCGGCACCGGCAACTTTTGGTACAGCTTCGACCACGGCATGGCGCACTTTATCCAGCTCGACACGGAGACGGATCTCGGGCACGGCTTCGTCGGCGCCGACGAGATTGACGGCGACGCCGGCGAGGGCGCGAGCCCCGTCAACGCCACGCTCAACGCGCAGACGGAGTGGCTGGCAGCCGACCTGGCGGCCGTGGACCGGGCCAAGACGCCGTGGGTCGTCGTCGCCGGCCACCGCCCGTGGTACCTGAGCAAGAAGAACGAGACGGGCTCCATCTGCTGGTCGTGCAAGGACGTGTTTGAGCCGCTGTTCCTGCGGTACGGCGTCGACCTGTACCTGTCGGGCCACGCGCACGTGTACGAGCGGCAGGCGCCGCTCGCCGACGGCAGGGCCGACCCGCGCGAGCTCGACAACCCGGCCGCGCCGTGGTACATCACCAACGGCGCCGCGGGGCACTACGACGGCCTCGACGACCTGCTGCCCGCGCCGCAGCGCCAGCGGTACAGCCGCTTCGCGCTCGACGTCAGCAACGCCACGTACGGCTGGAGCCGGCTGACGTTTCACAACTGCACGCACATGACGCACGACTTTGTCGCTAGTAACAACGACTCGGTGCTCGACTCGGCCACGCTCTTCAAGGACCGCCGGTGCAGCCTGACCAAGGGCGGCGGCAGCCACGGAAACGGCACCGTGACTACCGGCGGACAGCACGGTAACGGCACCGGGGCGCAGACCACGACGCGCTCCGCGCCGGGTGGCCCGGTTACGTCCTCCTCAACCAAGAGTCTCGGTGCTACGGCCTCGCCCAAGGGTCCCAGCGCTACGCACAGCAGCACGACCGTTCCTGTGAGTAGCTCGGGCTCCCGAGTCGCTGCTGTGACGGTTCTTGGGTTGGTTGGCTTGTTTGCCTGCTTGTAATACGTCATGTACATGTTGACAGGCCACTACTATCTCTTTTTAGTGATTGAAGCGTGCAGGCAGCCAAAATCAAGCCCTTCGATTGGTCAGAGGGGTGAGATGGGCCAACAAGCCCCCTTACCCTGACGATGGCTTCCATCTACAGACTTCCTTTCCATAGCACATCTATCAACTAGAACACCAGAATAAGACCCTTTGTCATGATGCCTGTATGACCACCGCGAATGTCACCTGTATTCCGACACTTTTGACTGAACTCTCTCCTTTGTGTCCTATCTGGAGATGGCATGCAGCTTCATCAGTGGACAGCTGCTACAATTGGCTGCACTGCTCTGCAAGCCGATCGAGATCAAGTAAAGACTGTCTGTCGGTAAAGGAACCGAGCGCTGTTGAGATCCTTCATCATGTTATTATGCAGCTCGGTTACAGCCTCTCCGAGCCCTCCGCCTGCAGTCGCGGAGAAGCTCACTCGGGGTTGCCCTCGCGAACGTGCTCACCGAGACTGGGCTGGAATTGGAAGCCGTGCCCGCCGCCGCTCGTCGCCACCATCAAAGCCCCCAAAAGAAAGAGATTACAGGCACCAGAGTACCCATCATGGTCGCTTTGCCGAATGAGGGGGTTTCCGTCCCCTGTCTTATACCAAGACCAGACCCAGCTTTACTACGGGGCCTTGCCTCGGAGCCATTAGAATATTGTCCGAAGCCCTTTGTTCATGCTCTGTGTTCCCGGCGACAAAAAGCCGGCATCGGCCTCGATCCAAGTTTATCGTCCAATATAAGCAAGCCTCCTTCGTATCGTTGCAGCGGGCCGCAGATCTCTTGGCGTCTTCGCTTGGCCCCCCGCGCCGACAACTATCGAGTCCGGGGTAATAGAACAGGTGGACAAGTGTGGGACTTGGCCGCCATCTATACTTTCACGTCTTGGAGCTTCGCGTCCATGACCTGCCTGCATCCGAGGTCGTCATTATGCCCTTTGCAAAATAAGAGGATGGTCAGGCAGCCATTGCTCTCACTCGTTCCCGGCCATCTTCCCCTTCACCACCCTGGTGAATTCCTACGAGAATGACGATAAAAAGTTTCCTACGCAAGTTGCCTTTTGGCAAGATCATCCACGATGCTCCGAGGGAGACCATCTTCAATCGGCATCTCCTGGTTTCGGCCTTTGTCTACGCCCTTGGCGGCATGCCCCCCAGTACGTTCCTCATTCCCCAAAACTAAGCCGCGAGGCGAAACTTGTGTCGCCAGACTGCCGGCTGACAGACCTGATTCTTCCTGCCTCGTAGTCTGGGATCAAGGAGCGTCGTCCGTCATGGCGTCCCTTCCTGGCTTCCAGGAGCACTTTGGGATCAGGTCGGGTGCCAACGCCAACGATATTCGCAACTTTATATCCATAGTGTACGTCGGCTTCGGCGTCGGATCTGGCCTGACGTTGTTCATCAACGACAGGCTCGGAAGGATACGGTCCTATCGCCTGTATGCACTCGTCTACTGCATCGGCAGCCTCGTCACCGTCTTCGCGCCCGACGTGCGGGTTCTGTACGCCGGGCGTGTCGTCCAAGGCCTCGGCCTCGGCCCGCTCACCGTCAACGGCCCGCTGTCCATTGTGGAAATCTCGCCGCCGCAGATCCGGGGCTTGCTGACGAGCTGGTTCAGCATCGCCATGGGGGCCGGCCTCATCGGGGCCAACTTTTGCACGCTGGCTTGTTTCCGCCACGTGCCCGTCGGCAAGCTCCAGTTCCAAATCGTCATGCTCGTCCCCGTTGTCTACATTGCTGCCTGCATGGTGGGAACCCTCTTCATTGAAGAGTCTCCCCGCTGGCTGTTCCTCGTTGATCGTCGCCAGGAAGCAGTCGCAGGACTGGCAAGGGTTCGAGGTCTGCCTGCAGACGACCCTCGTCTCCAGCGCGAGGTTGCCGACATCGAAGACAATATTAACAAATCGGTAGAGGCAGTAGGTGGTTCAGGTTTCTGGACCATTGCCAAGGAGACCTTTACTTCAGCCTCGAACCTGCGGCGCGTGCAGCAGAGCCTTCTCACATACACTTTTGCGCAGCTGTCGGGTGCCAATCTCATCACATCGTACTTTGTGCCCATCATGGCCATCGTTGGCATCTCCGGCGGCACCGATCAGTCCATGTTCTTGAGCGGCATGTATGCAGTATCCAAGTTGATCTATTTGCTAGTCGCCACGTTCTTCCTGGTAGATGCGTTTGGCCGTCGCAGGTCGCTTTTTCTAGGCGCCGGGGTACAACTGGCCACACACCTTTATCTGGCAATCTATCTTCGGTTTTCGCAAAAGGGACTTGCCACTGAGGCAGCTTCGAAAGTGGCCGTTGCAGCCTTGTTCGTTCATGCGTTTGGGTATAGCGTCGGTACGTTCGCGACAACACTCCCCGACACCTCACCTCTGTGAGACTGACCTTGAACAGGGCTTGCCCTTGTACCATACATCTTTGGTAGTGAGATTTGGCCCAATCGCATCCGTTCTTTTGGCGGAGCAATGAGTCAAACCTTTCACTGGCTATTTATCTATGCCATGCAATACAGCATGCCGTCAATCCTGTCCGCCTTTCACCAGTGGGGAGCGTTCCTGTTCTTCGGCGCCTGGTGCGTCGTTGCCATTATTTATACATTTCTGATGGTCCCCGAGGTGTCTGGTCTCACTGTGGAGGAAATAGAAGACACTTTCAAGGGTTCATGGTTTGTCGCTTACCAGACGTCGCGACGACGACGAGTTATTGAAGGGCGAGACGATGCTGAGGGCTCAGTTCTTGGTAAAACAGTGCAAGTGCAAAGAGGCCGTCATCATAACATATCAAAGGACGACAAATAGTCTCCGAGAGTAGTAGTGGTGTTTAGGCTGTTACTTTTATATTTTTCTTATTTCCACTACTTCTCCCATTTCTCTGGTTTCTTAGTATTTCGAGTTTCCCTGTTCAGCTATCGGGGTATAGAAGCTATCAGGGTATAAAATAAATTAACTTAAATATGCCATTTGCTATCATGCAATGTGCCGCTCTATAAAATTAAAATGATGCGCTCTTGATATCTTGTGGTATCGACACTTCCGTATACAGCCACCAAATCACCACCGCCACCACATTACTTGCCAGCCTCGTCATCCTCGCAGACATTAGATTCGTCCACGTACACTCACATGCGCCGCTGGTCATTACGTACTTATACTCTCCGTCGTGTCCTCCTTGTCTTGTTTGTCTTGCCTTTTCTTCTTCTTCTCCACCTTCTTCATCGCGTCGCTCGTCAGCTCTTGCCGGTCAATCAGCTTCACCACGTCCTTTTTGCGCGTCTTCCTGTCACCCCTCATAATGACCAAGCCGGCGACAATGTTGGTGGTGATGCTGACGCACAGAATGGTCGTCGTAATGGCCGGGTTGCGATGGTGGTAGTCGATGCCCCACGTCGTGGAGCTCAGCGAAATCTGGAGGCACGAATGCATGTCGAGCAGAACAATGACGGTAATCAGCAAGCTGAGAGGGAAACGGTAGTGAGTAAAGGTCTCGTGCGGTTTGTAGAAGCTGTGCGACTTGACGAGCTTTTGACGATGGTGGAGGAAGCGCTTCTGCTGCTTGGGCGTGAGCGGGTACAAGTCTTCCTCCTCCTCCGCTCCCTCTTCCACATTGACGTCTTGCTCCTTGGATATCTGGCTGGGTGCGCGAATCAGAGGCGGCTGCTGGTCAAGTGCACCAGGCATCGACTCTTCCTTGCTGTTCACATCGACGTGAGGTGCACCAGAGACATCCGAGGATCCGCTTCGGTCGGGCGCTTCAATGTCTCCCCTCTTGAGCTGTGCCTTCTTCATCTTGCGCGAGTAATGAACAAGAAAGCATAGATGGTAGGTATCAATGGCACGAAAAGGAGCCATGCCACCACCGACAACCAGGAAGAGGGCAACCAAAACACTGTCAATGATATGGAGGTTGTATTCTTGTTTGTCACCGACATAGATCCAACCAATCAAGAACAAAACCCAAGCCAGGCCAAAAGCGGTGATGCAAACAGCGTACAAAGTTACCAGGAAACCGAGGGGCCGACGAACATATTGTCCAAAGCCCTTCATCATTCGCTTCAACTTGGATCGCCGAGAGTGCAGCATGTGGCGAACATGGTCGTCGAGTTCCCGCTTCTCCGCATCCGTCCAGTGTGTCACGGATACACCATGAGGAAGTGCAGCATAATGGGAATCACTCAGTCGCGAAGTAATGGTGTCCGTTCTTCGTATGTGTGGTGGTGGTATGTCCGCTTCCGCTTCCGCTTCCTCCAAGGCTGGTAGTTCTTCGATAGTCTCGTCAGGCGCAACGCCAGATGTGACTGGCTCCTGCTGAGTTCCCGATGTTCTCGGCTCAGACGTCCCGGGTCTGGATACAACTCGTTCGGGATCGTGCTGAGTGAGGACATATGTCGGGCGTCGGTTAATTAATTTACCCAGATCGGGGACGAATAGGGAGTTTTGAATGTTGGTCAGGGTTGACAGCGTTTGGATTTCGGGATCTACACTGCAGGTTAGCATAGGTGCGCATGACGGTTCACTCAGTAGAACTTACCGATGGTATCTAAAAGATCCACTAGATGCTCTTCATACTCATCATCTTGGTGCATGGATCCTCGAGAGGTTGTTTCCTGCGAGCCGCTCCTCGCAGCGCCGTTAGCGCCGGGCCAAAACATTCTGCTTAGACGTCTACGGCGATTTTGCGGAGACGCGCTGGAGTCTACACTGAGATGCTCAGGCCGCTGGCGAGTGATGCTTGTGGGGAGTGAGGTTGTAGGAGAGAGGGGGTTGCCAACAATGCCAAGTTCCTGCATTGTCGGACGTGAGCCCTCCTCTGTCAGTCGCGGGAGCGCAACTTGGGGCGTGCGACGCGAATGCCTCGCTGTGTCGCCATCCCGACCCGCGGCGTCTAAAGAGGGCTGTGAAATGCTGCGGGGGCGTGTACGCCGGGCAGATGTAGGAACGGCACCGGCCGCGAGCGCATCGGAGGAGGAGGAGGAGGTAGTGGCGGCGGCGGCGGTATCGGACGAAGGCGGGTTCAGCGATGCATTGGATAGGCGTCGAATGCGGATGCTTGGTCGGCGATTCGAGTTCCGGCTGGCGGGACGAGACTCGCCAGAGGGCCCAGACGCGTGGGAGCGGACAGACTGGCGCGAAGGTTGCGGGCGCAGGTTGGTCGCTGCGTCAAAGTAGTCGCCGCTCGAGTCGGCCGTAGCGCTGGGTGTTGCTAGGCCGAGAGAATAGGTACTTCGACTGCCGGCACCGAGACCTGCGATGCCTTGTTGATGTTGTTGTTGATGAGCCTGCATCTCTATGGTGGCCGCCGAGGGCGGACGGCCATTGGAATTGTCCATCGCGAGCGAGATGGAAGGTGGCGTTGCAGGAGAGGCAGAAGAAGGAGTCGGGATGAAGAGAATAAAATTACGAGCAGCCCAAACACAACCAAGATTGACCAAGGAAGCTGCCAAAACCGGGACGGCAGATGAAGTGGGGCCGGTAGTGTGCAAACAGCCACAATGACGCGCTTCAGGCTTCAGGTTATATCGTTCAAGGCTGGCTGAAGGAATTTTTATGTCGGGAGAAATGGAATACTATGCGATTGTTTAGTTAGAGCATAACCCCGTGTCGCCGTCTGCCTATTTGAATTGCATGTTGACTTGCTCTCGAGCCGTCTTGCAAATGTATTACATGCCGCTTAGCAAGCGTCTTTAGCGGCTTCGTGTTAGGCATAAGAGTTTTGGCAAGATGATAATATATTCCCTAGCTTCTACGTAGGTGGCTTATAGCCCTAAGCTTATAGCCCTAAGAGTACTATACACATACTATATATATAATAATATACCTTATTGCCTATAGTAACGACCTTACTATTAAATAAAACTAAATAATTTTACCTTATATATAAATAAACTAATTATACTCTACTATATATAAAGATATCTCCTCTAAAGCTAAGCTAAATTATAGGTATATATAAGTCCTATAAATAAAAAGAAGAAATTAAATAATCTTACTCTATATATAAGTAAAAACTAATTATACTTTACTATATATAAAGATAATTCCTTTATACTAAAGAATCTTTATACTTCTATCCTATCTACTTTATCTATATTATTAGCTAGCTCTAATACCTCTATATTCTACCTAAGTTCTTCTATATTTAGCTTAATAGGTATTAGGCCTAGTATACTTATATCTATATTTTTAAGATTAGTAAACTAACTATCTTTAGGATTAAAGAACTAGCCTTTATCTATTCTAAATATATATTACTTTTAGTCTTAGATTAGCTTAACTAGCTTTAGCTATTATAGTATAGGCTTCTATCTAGGCTTTAACTTTAGCTTTACTATTTTAATTACTACTTTAGTTATTTTAATAGTTATACTTATCTTAGTTATAAGGAGTACTATATTTACTATATCTTTAGCCTTTTTTATTATTATATACTATATAAGGTTACTATTAAATTCTAGCTTTAGTATTAGTTACTATATAAATATATACTCTACTTACTAGTATATATAGCTTTCTAAGCCCTTTATTATAAGGATATTTAGGGTATAGTTTACTATATTAGGGTAGTAAAATATACTAAAGGCTATATAAGTCTATTCTATAGGTTATATACTAATACTATTAACTATTATTTTTTATATTATTTTATATATAACCTTTAATATAATAGTAGTAATTAGGTAGTTTATATACTATATATTAAGAAGCTTATATTTAAATATAGAAATAGTATTAAGTAGGTATTTACTAGACTTCTATATAGCTATTAATATATTAATATATATTTATATAAATATAACTTCTTATTATATAGTAGTTATACTTATCTTTATTATTTAGTATATAAAGTTAATACTATATAGGATTATATTAGGCTTATTTATAAGGGTATAAGCTATAACTCTATTAATCTAATCCTTTATAGCCTTTATTATCTCTTAACCTAGTTAAGGTCTTTAGAGTTAATCCTTTACTATAGTAGCTATCTCTTTTATAATATATATTAGCTTCTCTATATAGCTCTTAAGCGGCTTAGTACTACCTTCTAGGTATACTACCTTAATAAAGGTAGGTAGTAGTATTATAAACTATCTAGTATCTTAGTATAGCTTTACTAGGGTAATATTTATTCTACTAACTAGGTCTTTTAGGTAGGTAAGTTCTTAGTATATTATCTTATTATCCTTTTTTAAGGTATTTATAATTCTTTATATCTTAGCTATATATTCTTATAACTTATTAGTAATATTAACCTTATTTACTATATATAAGTTATTTTAAACTATATTATATATATCCTCTTATAAACTATATAAATACTTATATTCTACCTTAATTAGTATAATATTATACCTAACTACTTTTTATAGTATTATTAGCTTAATATTAATATAGCTATTAGACTATATAATAAAGGGTAATAGCTTAGCTATTAGCTAAGAAGGTATTTATTATAGCTATATATAAATAAGGTAGTTAATATTACCTAGGTTTTCTTTTTTATTATTATATATAATTACTAGCTTAACTTACTTAATATCTCTAATAATCTTTAGCTTTTACTACTTTATATTAGTTAACTTTATCTTTTATACTTTATTATCCTATTATCTCCTTTTCTTACTATAGAGTATTATAAACTTTATTATTAATTCTACTATATAATCCTTTACTTATTCCTTTATCTTTAATATTATATTAAACTTAGCTATATAAGGCTTAACTCCTATAAATACTTTTTTAAAATTCTTATCCTCTAAATACTATTTTATAATATAAGCTTTATTTATACTATAAACTATTATAATAACTACTATTTATATAAATATTTTTAGTTTTAATATATTATACTTAGTTATTAGTAGATTACTAATATTCTTATAGCTAAAGGTATATAATTACTATATACCTAATATATACTACTTAAAGTATATTACTATAAGTAGGATATTTTAATTTAAGTATAATACCTACTATATAATAAAAGCTCCTAATAATAACTAGAATTTAGTATTTAATAGGTTAAGTAGCTTTACTAGCTTACTTACTATATTATATAAGGCTTTTAGATTAACTTTATTATACTATATAGGTATAGAATCTATAATATCTTTTAATATCTATATATAATAGAGCTTTATAAGTTTAAGGTTTACTAATAAGGGTTTACTTAGTATAACTAGTATAGTTAATAGATAGGAGGCTAATATATAAAAGCCTTCTTTTTTTATTAAGTTATTAAGTAAATCCTAATATTTTATCTTTTTATACTTATAGGCCTTATATAATACTACTTTTATTAATAAGCTTATTATATTATATTTTATTAATAAGCTTACTATATTATATATATAGATAAGAAATAAAAATTAAAAGATAGAAAGAAATAGCTATTTACTAAGAAAAGTAATAATATTAATACTAAAAAATAAAGGAAATAGAAAGTAAGCTAAGTAGGGGGGGGGGGGAGAGGTTTTATAAATACTATACTACTAGGTAGTCTAATAATAAATAGTATTTATTTAATATCTAATCTTTTAATACTACTACTATATATTTACCTAACTCTTTAATAAATAGCTACTTATTATAACTTTTATTTAAATTATAATATTATACTTAGAAAAATTATATACTATCCTTATACTTCTTATTTATTATCTAGATAATTTTATAGTTCTTTATATAAAGCTATAATAGCTTAGGTGTTATAATATACTTATATAGTTCTTTAGCCTATAGAGTTATATAGCTATCCTTTTTAATAGCTATCTATATATCTACTAGTAGCTTATTAGATTCTACTAATAGCCTATATACTAGCTTTAAGTAGTTAACTAAAATTACTAGCTAGATATATAATATAGTAGGTAGTGTTAGTTAGTATATAATATAGCTAATATACTCTATAATATAATAGGGTCTTATAAATTACTTTCTAAATTTATATCTTAAGTTATTAGTTATAGTATATCCTTTATATAATCTAAGATATACTATATTACTAACTATAAAAAAGTAAGTTATATACTACTAGTTATAGTAATTCTTTATTATTACTATAGTAATAGTAAGGGTATTATATACTAAGACTCTAGTTACCTTATAATTTAGTTTTACTAGTATACTACTAATTAAGTAGTTTAGTATATTTATAAGGTTAAATCCCTTAATAACTTTATATAGTAAGTACCTTATTAATATAGATTATATACTATTAATTTAAAAGATTAGTTATAATATAATTAATTCCTATTATACTAGTTTCTTTAAGCTAATAATATAGATTTAGATAGCTAAGGATATTATCTAGATTACTTATTCTATCTAGCTATCTATTTATAAGTAGTATACTATAATATATATAAGCTTTATATATATCTACCTTTATATATACTATTATAATACTATTATAAACTTTAGGTCCTTATTTAAGAGTATAATCTTAAAGATACCCTAGCCTTTATTAAATAGTAATTAAGTAGGATTTATACTACCTCTACTATATTAAATATATCCTTTAGAGGGGCTATTAGTATTAACTTATTAAATTTATAAACTACTACTAATATTACTATATACCTTTATTTTAAGAATAGTAGTACTAGTATAAAGTTAATTAAGATATAGTAATATAATATAGGCGCTAGTAATAGTAGCTATAGGTTCCTATATAGTATATATACTTACTTATAGTATTCCTAGTACTTAATATAATACTATAGGAACTCTTAAAAATACTTACTACTTTTATATATATAGTATTACCTTAATACTAATTTAAGCTTATTATATACTATATAATTACTAATATAGATAGCCTTAAAGATATCTTATTCTATAGTATATAAGATATATAGCTTATCTAGGTAATTTATAACTACTTTCTATAGAAGCCTATCTTTAATCTTAAATAAAAGCTTAGCTTTATTATTAGTAGCTAACTTATTATTATATATAATAGTATCTTATATATACACCTAGACTAGGTCTTCTTAGTATCTATAATATAGCTATTCTTTAAATTCTAGGCTTATACTAATAAGGCTTATATATAGTATAAGTACTATTATAAGCTATACCTCTAGGAAGTTCTTATTTATATAGTATACTACCTAAAGGCTATTAAGCTATAGCTTAGTATAATTATTAGGTATATTATCTAATAGGCTAGTCTACTTTAGGTCTATATAAGGGGGCTATATAGATAGCCTACTTAATATATCTAAGATAATATAGTTTATACCCTTATAATATATAACTCTTATATCTATATTACTAGTATACTCTATAGCCTATATAATTTTCTTATTAATAACTTACCTATTTATTA